AAAGTTTAAAGAAAAGTGAAGTTTTAATATTCATTTGAGCAATAGCATGCTTATTGAATTTTTATAAGATTTGGATAAGTTATCCGTTAGAGTTAAGAATCCCAACATCTTATTGAGTATACGAGCATAGTACTTAGTATATTTATTTATATTTTTATGTAACTCGCAGATACAGTTATCCAGCACAGCACTTACCATTTTTCAAAAGTTTTTAAAGAGGAAAGGTGGGGACCCAGAGTGGGTAATACATTGAGTACGATATTGATATCATCCAGTTTATACGCTTGGGATGAGGAGGCTATCAGTTGCCTCAGAGTATATCCTAAGTTCTGATGGAGGCCGTTTGAGTTGCCTTGAGAAATATCCATCAGAGTGTGCACACGTATCCGATAAGATATCGGCCAGTTTACAGATTCAGTTACAGAGTACCGGTTATAGTTACCGATCAGATATCGGTTACCGGTCAGATATCGGTTACCGATCAGATATCGATTACCGATTATGATTATCATTATTCAGTACTCATCCCCATAAGTTTATTTTCATGTAACAGGTCGAGGAGAAGGTGTGAGTGGAGCAGTGTTGTTGTGGATTGTGGACTCAGACTATGACAAGCTTTTATATGGACATTTATAACAGTCTGTATAATTAATCACGTTTTTAAGTACTTCCGCTATGCATATTAAGGCTTGAACTTACATTTTAATAAATTTCAGATTTCAAGTTCTTACCATTTCAGAAGTATGAATATGGTACAGTTAAATGTAAGTTTAAATAAATTTGTTTTCTTTATGTCTAAAGAAGTATTAGACAAAGTTTAAAGGTAAACGAATTTTCAGAAAAGATAAGTTTGAGTAACATCCCGAGTTAATCGCAAAAGATTTCGAAAGAATTATAAGTATTTTCGAAGTAAAAGATGCGAAAAATTTACTCTGATAAGCAGGGTGTTACAACTCGAGTGTGGATATTGTGAATCTAGATGCGCTCAAGTGGTGGAAAGACAAAACAAAGTATAAGATATTGCCAAATATGGCTGCTGATTATTTTAGCCATCCCTATCAGCATGGTTGCTTTAGATGCTACATTCAGTGTCGGAACTAGAGTGATTAATGCATATCATTCCTCCTTGGCATCGGCAACTGTTGAGATGTTGATGTTCGCTGGTGGTTGGTATCGTAAGCTACATGGCATCAAGAAAGGTAAACACACTAAAATTGTAAGAACATAATTCCATGTCAATAGTGATTAAACATTCTTTTATTCTGAATTTTGTTTTTTTTTTTTTTTGTTTATAGAAAGTGAAGTCTGCCCAACAAATCTTGTTGCCGATTCTTTGAAGGTTNTACATTCTGGAAGTTTACTGTTTATTGTTTGGAATTTTGGTGTTTGTTATTCTGGAAGTTCCAACTTCTAAGTTTTTGATGTGTGTAACTTGTAGGGATAATTTGGATTGAAGATGACATGATGCATTCTTATTTGGGTAGACATGTTGAACTTTTGTGTTTATCATGATTGTGAATTTTGTGATATTATGAACTTTGGGACATTGTTGGTTGTACTCAATTTATGTTGAAGATTTGTTTAGAAGATTAATGTTGTAACAATTTTTTTCATAATGCACTTCGCGGTAATATGCATTCAATTTTGAAAATTTAAACCTTAATTTCGAGAAATTTTTCGAGCAGAACTCGAGCAACTTTCTAGCCTTGAGAATTCGATCTGTCTCGAGCCGAGCTCGAGCAATCTTGTTCCTCAGGCGAGTCAAGTCAAGCCCCATTAATCGTGGCTCGACAAGCCCGAGCTCGAACTCGAGCAGTGCATAAAAATTCAAGCCCTGTTCGATTAGGTCAATGCTCGAATCAACTCAGTTCATTTGCAGCCTTATTGTCAACCTACGCACGATCATAATAGATTAATGTTGTCGAGCTAGTCATGAGAATGAAGGAAGCCAACCGTCCCATCAAAAGTTGACATCAACTCCCTCAAAAACATAAACCACACTTCCAAATGCATTTGTAATTTCCTCTCCCTTTGACACTTGTGTATTAAGTGTCATACTTGATGATATGACTCATGTCAATTTTTTTTTTTTTTTTTTTTTTATTTTTTTTTTTTTCCGAAACGATAGATGATTATATATCACTGAATGTACAAGAATACAGCCCGAGACCAACTGGCCCTAATACAAGAGAGGCATCATACATTGATGCTCTAGAAAATAACAAAAGACCAAAAACTACTACACTACTACATCTACTATGCATTCTGAGGCCAGAACACAATCTGTATTCCTTAGGACCATACTTCGACTATGTGCATAATCAGAAAATGATATAGTGTATCAACAATAACACAGACAACCCAAATAAGTAGAAAAAGCTAATAGGCATATGGAACTAACAGAAAGAAGTACCCACTGAACCTTGGAGAACCTAGATACACTCCTTCTCTTCCACAACCTATTTGCAGTTCCTCTTGGAGAACTCCTGCCAGTCACTCATTGCTATTTTCACAATGGACAGAGCTGGCAGCCATTCCTTTTTGAATAGCCAAAGGTTTCTGGCCTTCCAGCGCCACCACAAGATGTATGTGGTGAGCTCTATTCTAGCTTATGAGACTTCCAGTTTGTTGACAGAACATACATCATGCCACCATGTTCTAAATTTTGTTGAACAGTTAATAGCTAAGTCCCAGTGAATAGGTGCAGCTTTCCACACTTCAATGGCTTTTTTGCATTTAAAGAACAGACGCTCAGTTGTCTCAATGTGCTCTCTACAGGACTGACAAATACCATCTACCAGGAGTCCTCTTTTCCTCAGTAAAGCTTTGACAGGTAATGCATCAGAGAAGCATTTCCAAAGAAAATGTTTGAGTTTCTTCTTTACTTTGAGTTTCCATGTTCTGTTTCTGGTTTTCCTCTAGTTTTGTGCTGAGTGGCTGCTCTCTGCAATATCTATCTTCTTGAACTTTTCTTTAACCATTTTGGAATAGGCTTTGGCAACTGTGTATTCATCTTTGTCTTCATTGTTCCATATCCACCTATCTTTCTTGTGTGGATCAAGGTTCTTGATTCTGAGAATTTTGGCACTGTCAGCATCATTAAACAGCTGTCTGACTAAAGGCTCATTCCAGTTTCTGCCTCCATTGTCCATTAGCTCCCAAACCCAATTGACCTCAATAAAACTGCTATCTGCTTGCTGGTTATGTCCAAATGGAACTTGGCTAACCCAGGGATCATTCCATATATGTGTTGTAAGGCCATCACCAATTTGAATCTGCATGTATTGTTTGTACTTGTTTCTCACTGTCATCCACGTTGACCACAACCATGATGCATTTTGATTAGCAACAGCCTGCAATAAACTGCAATTTGGAAAATACTTGCCCTTAAGAAATTTGCTCATAAGTAAGTTGGGGTGAGACACAATCCTCCAAAGCTGCTTTAAGATTAAAGCATCATTGAACAATTGAAAATCATGAAAGCCAAGGCCTCCCAAGATTTTAGGCAGTGTGACCATGGACCATTTCTTCCAGTGGATACCAGAAGCACTCTCACCACTTCTTTTCCACCAAAATTTGGCACACAATGCAGCAATTTTCTGGCAAACTGATTTGGCAGTGCAAAGCAAGACATTGAAAACACAGAAAGAGCAGATAACACAAAGTTAATTAGAACTTCCTTGCCTGCAGATGAAAGAAAGTTATTATTTCAGTTTGATATCCTTTTCCTGACAGCTTCAATGACATAGGCAAAAGTCTGTATTTTTTATCTACTAATACCCATTGGGAGTCCAAGGTATTTGGAAGATTTATGAACTTAAATTCCTTGAAGGAGCAGACATATATCACTCTGTAGTCTGGTAGAGACATTCCTACTGAAGAATATGGAAGATTTAAGAATGTTAACTTTTTGACCAGTGAAGGCCTGATACTGATCCAATATTCTCAGAATGGCTGCAATAGAGTTCACATCAGCACCACAGAATAATAATGCGTCATCAGCAAACAATAAATGAGACAATTGTAGACCATGCCTAGCAATTTTGATCCCTTTCAAAGCCCCACCCGCAATTTCCTTTTTAATAAGCTGAGAAAACAATTCAGATGCCAAGATAAAAAGATAAAGGGACAGTGGGTCCCCTTGTCTAATACCTCTAGAAGCATTAAAGTAGCCACAAATATTCTCATTGATATTGAGAGAAAATGAAGAAGAGGAGACACACATCATAATCCATTTCACAAAGGTTCACAAAGGTTCTGTGGAAACCAAACTGAAATAAGACTTCCCTCAAGCATTGCCACTCAAGCCTGTCATAGGCTTTCATCATATCAAGTTTAAGAGCTAAATAACCTTGGGTTCTAGACCTATGTCTATTTAAGAAATGAACAACCTCATGAGCCATTATGACATTGTCTAATAGTTGTCTCCCTGAGATATAAGCAGCCTGATTCTCACTCACACACAGATGCAGTAGGGTTGCATTCTAGAAGATAGAATTTTGGCTATTATTTTATAAGCAACTTCACAAAGGCTTATGGGCCTAAAATCACTCTGGGTTGAAGGGTTGTTACACTTAGGAATTAGAGTGATGATGGAATGATTCCAACTTCACAACTCAAGTCAAATTTTCACTATGTAAGTTGTTGGTATTTGCTGGGAGGGGACCTAAACTTCCCCCCATCTTCTACTATGTATTATCAAGGTACTGAAAGTCTGAAAGTGCTCTTTCTACCTTTTTGTTGATCTATTTGCTTGCATGTCAACTTTCGCATCATATCTTCGCCGATCAATTCTAGCTTAAGATAAAACAAACTAAAATCATACTATCCCGAATCTTAAAGATTCAAAGCGTTCCTTCTTTAAACGCCATTTAAATTGAAATTCATGACAATGAAATGGCACCTGATCATTACCGTTGCCCGCTGCATCTTACACAGGCAGTAAAAATTACAAAAATAATAACAATAATAATAATAATCAAAAATCAATTTCATCATATTTATAATAACATTGAATAACATAGCAACAAGTCAACAACTTAGATTCAGCTTTCTACTCGAGTTCTTTACAAAAGAATTGCAATCAATTTGTTCTACTCACAATAATTGTACATTTAATACATTTAATAGCAAACAATATATTGACATTCCAATTCCTTAGCACGTTAAAATCCCCTAACGAAAAATATTTGGGAGAAAAAAAAGAATATACATATATATAGTGTTTGGATCTGGTAGGAACCATTCTCGATGTAGGAACTAGGAACCCACTCTAAAATGCGCATTGAACATAATGCTACTTCAACAGGGTTCTTAGAATCCCACGATGAGAATGCATTTCTATTTGATCCATTCCCTATATATATTTATATATATAAATTCGAAAAATAAAACTAACACGAAAGAATTTCAGGATTAAGAGAAAGAGGGCGCCACTTTAACTCCACTTGGCCTTTTCCCCTCCATGGCATCCTTCTTATTACGACACTCACCACAAAGGAAAGGTCCTTCCCATGGCTTTGAGGTTGTTGAGAATATGGAGCCTGCATGAACCGAAATCCCTTCATTTGGTGCAAGGTCCACCTGGCAAACGGCACACACGAAAATACCTGACGCCCGAGCACCAGTTTCTTCATTATTTCCTAGTCTGCCAATATAATTGATATTTATAAGATTTGACTGTCGTACTATTCTACTTATAAAATATAAACATATAAGAGAAAAAAAACACAAAAAAAAAAAGAATGATGATCACAGGGATCCGTTTATGGTTATTGTTTGGTAGCCAAATAAGCTAGCTTATAGCTTATTTGGTTATCTTACAGGCTTCCTGTATTCAAATAAGCTCCGTTTGGTAGGACGAACTTATTTAAAATGTTCGAGCATATCTCATAAGCTTCTTAAGATAGATTTTCAAATAAGCTAGTTTAAAATTTTATTTCAACTAGCTTATTAGCTAATTTTACCAAACACTTTTATCATATAAGCTAGTTTTTTCAGCTATAAGTCACAAGCTATGAGCTATAAGCTCGAAAATCACTTATAAACTATCTATCAGTTAGTTTATTAGCTAGTTTTACCAAACATAGCCATATATGTATGAAGTTGTATGGGAGCATTTTCAAATTGTTTTCTCTAAATAAGATATAAAATTGCCACAATAGTACCGACCTTTCTGCAAGCATTGCTGATCCTTCTTCGAATAATTCCTCTATTATACCCATAGTCGATAGCCTCCTTGACAATTTATTAGCAGATTTTTTCCTAAAGAGCAAAGCTCTGAGCTTGTGAAATTTCTTGGGTGGTGTAGAAGGCTGAATAATTGTGTTATCTGGAGGTCTTATATCAACAACTATGCAAGTCGTGTCGTCCTTTAGCCCGCGTGTCCTTAATGCCTCCTATACAATGGTTGATGCA